TGGTCTGACCTGTCCTTTTCTTATAGTTCATGGTTTTGCTGAATGTAATGAAAAATCGTTTGTATAGTAGGATTTGCTTTCTCGCTTGGTAGAAGCTTTCTTTACATTAACCTGGTAAACCTAGTAAGTTTAGGGTATACCAAGTATAGCGAGGTTTATAGAATGTATTGTTGGAAGAGTGACCCACGATTGCTTGGGTCTGTTTGTTCAGAAATGTGTACATAAATGTTGAAGTTCACTCTAGGTAAATTTGTTCAGTTGTTCCATCTTCTTTTTGAAATTTTATTCGATCCCTGCACTTTGATGCTAGCAGTATTATTTGTTGAAATGCAAAGAAGCCAACTATGCAGTCATTCCATCACTGTAACTGAAAATTTACACAGTATATCATTAACCTGGTTATGATACTGTGCATATGTGCGATCTGATTGGCTTAAGACCAGAATGTAGAAATATAATCTTCTTCTGAAAATTACTTAACAAACTATGAGTCTTGGAGCCTGGGCAAGGCCACGTTTGCAGAAGTTATTGCGCAATAATGAAAATAGATTAAATCTCCAAAGCTGTTTCATTATTCCTCATCAAATCAGCATTACTTAACATTATTTTCCTGCACTTTGCTTGACTTTTCATCTATAGATTTGAACTCCAGAGAACGTAAAAGGACAAAAACAGACACTGGAAATGGTTACTCTGCTACTTGGCGATCTCAATATGATAGGAAAAGAAGTTACCCTGTTTCCCGTGTTGTAGATTATTCGGATCCATTTTCCGTTAATGACATACTGGTTGAGTTGGATACGGGCAAATATGGAAGTGTGACTAAAGAAATACTGAAGCTTGTCGAGCGGAGGAGACTGTTAATGGATTGCCTCTACTCAAATAATGCTGAACTGTGGTCATCATGTCCCGATTTGCAATCAACTGTGCCAAAGTCAACTGAAGTGGTTACTTGTGATGTCATTGACCTAGACGATGATCAGGATGATGAAAGGCTTGCACTTACGAGGTTTGTTCCAACAGAAGAGCAATCTTCTCTTGCTAATCCTGTTGTGATCATCGAGTCAGACGATGAGAATGATGGTAGGAGTGAAAGCTTTAGGTCTTCGTATCAGGAATTGAACCTGAAGCCTACTGGAAACACTCTCATGGGAGACATTGCGGTATGAACTTTGTGAATTTTTTACCTGTAATGTAGCATTATCAATTTATGATATTGTCAGTTGTATCATTTGACATTGTTAAAAGTTATCTGATGTCAATTCTTAATTAAGAAGAATGAGATTCGTACTCAGTTCATAACATAGGCTACGATTAACATGGTGTGCAATTGCTTTTTGAAAGAATAATTATTTTTTATTTTATTTTGTTGTTTTTCTAATTCGTGTGGGAATATGAGTAGACAACCATTTATTTAGTTATATATTTTTTAAGTTTGTTAACCAGTCTCTGGAAATGAAATTTTGATCTCACTGCCTACCAGGAATCAAAGTTGCCGAAGCTTTCACTCTACCAGGAACTGCACTTGGAGAAGCCTGCTGGAAGTCTTCTCATGAAAGACTTTGTGGTATGAAATTTGGACTTACCGCAATGTTTAGGCTCATGAACTCGAAATAGTCAATGGTTATATCATGTGATCTTATTAAATGTGCTCTGGGATTTTTTTTTGCTGAATTTCTAATTTATTTACTCATGTGGCATGGAATCAATTTATACAGTTTTTACATTATATCCATTTCCCCATGTCAGAATAAGTGGACAACCATAACTTTTTGCGAAAGCCTGTCAGTGCCAGGAACTGAAATTTTGCTGTCATTATGCTCCTTGTTTGATTTGATCTCATTGTCGTTCAGGATTTCAATGCGAAGAAGCTTTCTTCCTATCAGGAACCGAACACCAAGAAGGCTTCAGTAAATCGTATCATGAAAGACTCTGTGGTATGAACTCTGGAATCTACTTTTGTGTTTTATCGGTTTATACTATCATTAGTTATACTGTTTGAACTCACAGAAGGTGTTCTGGTGGAAGTATTACTCAAGAAGAATGAGGATTTTCTGAGTTCCTAGAGCACCATTACTGTGACTCGCAATCCACTTTCGCAATTATTTATTTTATTGTTGCTCTAAATGTTAATATTTTGATATATATTTTTGTAAAGCAAGTAACTGCTCTAATTAATCCACTCCAGGAAAGGATTTTTTTTTTTTTTTCGCTGCTGTTTTATTTGATTTTATTGTCATTCAGCTGATAGTTCCCTATCATTATGCAGGAAAGGAATTCTGGTAGAAGCAAAAGTTCTCAAGGTGCGGACCAGCTGGTTGCTGAACAAACTGAGTCAAAAAGAGATAAAGGTGAATATGTTGAACAAACTGAGTTAACAAGAGATAAAGGTGAATACGTTGGCACTGATGAAGAGGACAGTGACGACCCTTCTGATACTAACTCTGATGGCCTGGGTGAGATATGGAATGATATGACATTTGCCTTAGAGTGTTCAAAGGTAGCCTCTTAAAACAATAACTTTCTGATTCTTGGTGGTATACTGACAATATAATATTTTTTATTTTTATTTTTTATGATAATACTGTTCCAAACCTCATAAACTTATTTTCTGATGGTCCTATGCTGTCTTAGAGTGTACATTTTCTGCTGTAAAAAAAGAGTATACATTTTCTTTTTTCTCTTTCCTATATATTTTCCTAAAGAGATGAAGTTTTCTGTTGCCTACATGTGTTTGTTGAATTCTATTTTATGTACATATTCATGCCATTGACTGGTTGTTTTTTGGTATGTCACAGACTGCTGATGAAGATCCTCTGGATGAATACAATGCTGAAGATGAAGAAGAGTGTGAGCATTCTTTTATCCTGAAAGATGATATTGGAGATGTATGTCGTATATGTGGGGTCATTAAGAGAGGAATTGAATCAATAATCGAGTTTAATTTCTCAAAGGTAAGGATTTCATATCTGTGTATTATAATTGAAGTTATTTTCTTCATTCTGTCTTATGTGAAGCTTGGTTGTGTGAATCTATCACAACTCTTTCAAAAATTAGCACCTAATCATTTACACTTGCACCTGTTCTGTCAATGTCTGCTATTGTGACATTTTGACCATTTTGCTGTCTTGGTGTTGATTGATGAAGACAATTTTACATTTTAGCCCACTTTACACAATTTTATGCATCGTTCAACCCTTGTGACTTACCCTTAGGTCAAGCTTCTACTTGTTTTAGGCTTTTAGCAATCAAGTTAATACTTCTGTGCACTAAAAATCTCTAAATATACATCATTGTTTTACGTAGATAGTAGGACTTGATACTAAAGATGTTGCCTACTCTATCAAAAACGTCCATTCTGGTTAGAAGTCGTGCTGAAAAACGTGATTTGTTAAGGCATAAATTCGTTCTGTATGCCCAGAGAATCTTCCTACAATTACCTACACCACGTTTTGTTTGCTTAAGTTGTGGTTATGTCTGCTACAATTGTGTAGTTCCTTGTTCTAATGGACTTTGATTTCTTCTTAGAGGTAGTGGTTGTGGTACATCATTATACGCCTCCGTATCTCGCTTCCCGATTCCCGCTTTTGCATTTCTCCTCGTCAACTTCTCATTTTTCTTCAAACGATCAAATCCGATCTGCAGCAAACCCGAATTAGATGNGCTGCAAAATAAATAAAAAACAACAAGATATGCCTGCTGAAGAATATTTTACCAACTCAAATACAGGCTCCAAAGAGTACTCGAACATACAGATACGAAGGACGAGCCAGCCGTGACATTGACCCCACCAACACCTTGCCAGACGGGGTCAAATCATCCGAGATAGACTTCACAGCATCCGAAATACACCCTCACCCGCGCCACAGAAAGGAGATGAAGCCCCACCAATTAGAGGGCTTCAACTTCCTTGTCAGCAATCTTGTCACTGAAAATCCCGGTGGATGCATTCTGGCCCATGCCCCTGGCTCGGGCAAAACCTTCATGATCATCAGCTTTCTACAGAGCTTCATGGCTAAGTACCAAGCCGCTAGGCCCTTAGTCGTGCTCCCCAAAGGCATAGTCTCCACTTGGAAGAAGGAATTCGCCAGGTGGCAAGTCGAGGACATTCCCCTTTACGATTGTTACTCGATGAAAGCCGATAACCGTGCACAACAGCTCGAGGTTTTGAAGGAATGGGTTAAAGAGAGGAGTATATTGTTTCTAGGCTATCAACAGTTTTCGAAAATAGTCAACGACTCGGATAAGGGAGCTGTAGCTACTGCTTGCCGAAGTTATCTGCTGACAATCCCCACAATTCTCATATTAGACGAAGGTCACACACCAAGGAACCAAGAAACAGATGTGCTGACTGGACTCGAGCGAGTGGAAACTCCTCGAAAAGTTGTCCTATCTGGAACTCTTTACCAAAACCATGTAAAGGAAGTTTTCAACATATTAAATCTAGTTCGGCCAAAATTTCTAAAAATGGAAATCCCAAAAGCCATGAGGCGTAGGATCTTGGGCCGGGCTGAGATCAATAACCGAAGGAATGTGATGAAAAGCGATAGAGATGATGACTTGTACGAACTGATTGAGCATACGCTGATCAAAGACGAGAACTCCACTCGGAAAGCTATTGTCATACAAGACCTCCGCGAAATGACAAGAAAAGTCCTGCATTATTTCAGGGGCGATAGTCTGGACGAGCTTCCCGGGCTTGTTGACTTCTCCGTTTATCTCGATTTGAGCCCTTCGCAAAAATCCGAGGCTAAAGAGCTGATGCGGACTCTTTCCAGAAAATTCTCGATCACTTCACGGGGAAGTGCTGTTTATGTACACCCGAAGCTTAAGGACTTGGCGAAGAATTCGGAATTGAGAGATAGAGTCGACGAGGCGAAAATCGACGAGATTTTGGCGAATATTAACCTGAGAGAAGGCGTGAAGTTAAATTTCTATCTGAATCTCCTCCAGCTTTGCGAATCAAGCGGAGAGAAAATTCTCGTTTTTAGCCAGTACCGTTTGCCCCTCAAATTTCTCGAGATGGTAACTGCAAAAGTGAAAGGCTACAGCTTGGGAAAGGAGATGTTCACTATCACTGGCGATTCGCATTGCGACTCGCGCGAATCTTCAGTGGAGAGTTTTAACGAGTCACCTGAAGCTCGAGTTTTGTTTGGCTCGATTAAGGCTTGTGGAGAAGGGATATCGCTTGTGGGGGCCTCACGGATTATTATATTAGATGTTCATTTGAACCCATCTGTTACTCGACAGGCTATTGGTCGGGCTTTTAGGCCGGGCCAGGTGAGGAAGGTTTACACGTACAGGCTGATAGCTGCGGGCTCGCCTGAGGAGGAAGATCACGAAACTTGCTTTAGGAAGGAGTTGATTCCTAAGATGTGGTTCGAGTGGGATGAGTCGAGGGGAAATCAGAAGTTCGACATGGAGACTGTTGATGTGAATGATTGTGGAGATATGTTTTTGGAAACTGCTCGACTGAAGGAGAATGTGGTTGCTCTTAAGAGAAGGTGAATGAGACTTTTTAGTTATTAAGCTTACGGATTTCCTTTTTTTTTTGTGCAGCGGGTGTGTAATTGGTGCGTGCGCCTTTNTCTGCTAACTTAAAAAGGGTAAACAAAAAATCTGTATATCCTGACGGTTCTTGTAGAGGCTTGTAGCTATGCACAGAAACTTATGCCTTAGTCACTTTTCTTGAATCTTCAGTGGTTTAAGCTGTGCTTTGGCTGTTGAGTCCCTGGAAACTTGCAATATTGCTAAAGTTATGGGTTTTTCTTTTTTTTTTTTTGGTCATTGTATGTTTGTTGAGTTCAAATTGGCAGCCTGGTGTTGAAGAACAGTGTCACCAGATTTTATTGATTACATGAAGCTACGAAAGGTACCTTCAAGGCTTGGTCTGGTATTTTAAATTCCAAATGCCAATTAAAGTGTGTTTGTATTGCAAAAGTGAAGGCTGTGATTTGTGAAATGTGAAGAAATTATTTTTTTTTTGAGACAATTACAAACCTTAGGGTAACATTTTAAATTGCCTTTGATTTGTGCCTATCTTTTTAAAGTGCTCCCTTGAGATAATTAACAAACCTCAAAAGATATTAGTAAAATTCAAAGATTGTTTTCTGTGTGGTGAGAGAGAGAGAGAGATTCATAACAAACTTTATGCTGTATTGAGGCAGTAACAAATTCTCTTATTCTGTCATACAACTAAATAGAGGTATCCCCTTTCTACATTTAGACCTGAGCACAATTTTATACACACAAAAAGAAGAAAACACACACACACACACACAGAGTCCCAAGACTCTAACCATTCCTTTTTCTACAATCACATTCATAAATGATCNCACTCCATTTCAGTCCATAAAACTCGATTTTCGAACACTTCATCTTCCCTTTTTTTCCGAACAATTAACATTATGGTCACGAGAAGGACGGAAGGAGTGAGGACATGAACGGGTGCTGTCGATTTCCCGAATCCATATAATCAAACTCCGCTGCGGCCTCATTGGCCATGGCTGCTGCAGCTGCATCGTTATACCCTACACCTTCTCTCAGGGGATTAAAACCGTGACTGTTCAACTCGCCACCTCCTTCTCCCTGCTGCAACCCCAGCGTAAGCGACACGGGGTCTACACCACCGAATCTCCCCAGCTCAGACATGTTGTAAGGAAAAGGAACATTCTGCCCGTTTCTCGTTTTTCCCGTCATATAATCCCCTTGAAAGGCGGGCATATCATCCGGGCCCACGGTCTCTGTATTATCGGACATTGGGTCGGTGGGTTTCGATTCCACGGGGCGCAGGCCCGTGGAGTCTTCGCATTTGTTGTCCTTTGTGTTTGTCTTCTCAGAAGAAGAGTTTGAGTCCACGTCAGCATCTCCTGTTTCCTCTTTGTACATCTCCTCGACCATGGGCTTCCAGAGGCGGACTCGAGCATTTATGAACCAGTTGGAGACCTATGCCAGTAGCAAACGAAAGAGAGATCAAAAGACTTGCAGATTTTCTTCGGTTTGAGATATTCGGTTCTAAAATGGATTTTTGGATGCAAAAGTCCATTATGTTTGGTACTAGATTAAAAATGGACTTATGGATAATATATTTCTCAGAAAAAGTCCTTCCTATTCTATAGAAGTAATGACATGATTGGTATGATGGAATGGAATTTCATAGGAATGGAATGAGTTGAAGAATGGAAAGATTATGGGAATGGAATGAAACATGTTTTGTCATTGATGCGTTTCGTATGCAGAAGGAATAAGACTGGAATGGGATGACATTATCATTTTTTATTATTAAAATAAATAAAAGCTTTTTTTAAAAATAATATACTTTTAATAAATAATGTATAAATGCTCTTCTAATAATATATAAAAATAAAATAATATATTTTTAATAATATATTTTTAATAATATATAAAAATAAAATAATATATTTTTAAATTATATATAAATGCTTTTTTTGGTTTTATTTTTATATAAGTATTTAATATACTAATTAAAAAATAAATAAAAGTAAGTTTTCAATTTTTTAATTTGAATATATTTGAATATATATAAAATAATTGTATTTAATATATTTTAATCATGATTTATAATATATAATAAATATTTATTTATTATTATTATTTGTTAATTTTATTTTTTGAAAAATTGATTTCTACACACATGGGAATGAGAAAACCTTCCATTTACTATGGAATGGCTAATCCCATGGAGATGGGTTTTGCCATTCTCATTGGAATGGTCATTCCTTCCCAAAAAATATACCAATCATGGGATAAGGAATGAGTAAAGGAATGATCATTCCATTCCCATGTCATTCCTTCCTACCAATCATGCCATAAGAGATGGAGACTTCTGGAAAAAGTCAATTTGAACAAGTCCATTTCTTAAATGAATTTTTCAAAGAGTGCTTCCAGACAAGCACTTAGTTGAAGGAATCGATAGTCAACAACATAACTACGTTCTACCGTCAATAACTTACACTTTAATTCAATACGAGGGGGTGAATATTGGAAAATATAACTAATACCACATATAGAATGAAACAAAATTTCATTTCGGAAAGCGATACAATCGTTTGCATTGCATCACCATCTTAATCGAGACAAAACAGCTAAAGTAATCTAAGGAGTCTTTATTCTCCACTTGTGTAAGCTTTTATGTTTTCTGTGTTGTTTGTTTGTTTGTTGGGTTCTAGGCTACCTGGTGTAGGTCTCCAACTAGATTCAGCTGCGTAGCTGATTTATTCCACTGTCGTTTTATTTATAGTCTGTAAT